CGAGCTGATGTCGTCCATGCCTTCAGACATATTCCCAGCGAGCTGATGTCGTCTATGCCTTCAGACATATTCCCAGCGAGCTGATGTCGTCTATGCCTTCGGACATATTCCCAGCGAGCTGATGTCGTCTATGCCTTCAGACATATTCCCAGCGAGCTGATGTCGTCCATGCCTTCAGACATATTCCCAGCGAGCTGATGTCGTCCATGCCTTCAGACATATTCCCAGCGAGCTGATGTCGTCCATGCCTTCAGACATATTCCCAGCGAGCTGATGTCGTCCATGCCTTCAGACATATTCCCAGCGAGCTGATGTCGTCTATGCCTTCAGACATATTCCCAGCGAGCTGATGTCGTCTATGCCTTCAGACATATTCCCAGCGAGCTGATGTCGTCTATGCCTTCAGACATATTCCCAGCGAGCTGATGTCGTCTATGCCTTCAGACATATTCCCAGCGAGCTGATGCCGTCTATGCCTTCAGACATATTCTCAGCGAGCTGATGTCGTCTATGCCTTCAGACATATTCCCAGCGAGCTGATGTCGTCTATGCCTTCAGACATATTCCCAGCGAGCTGATGTCGTCTATGCCTTCGGACATATTCCCAGCGAGCTGATGTCGTCTATGCCTTCGGACATATTCCCAGCGAGCTGATGTCGTCCATGCCTTCAGACATATTCCCAGCGAGCTGATGCCGTCCATGCCTTCAGACATATTCCCAGCGAGCTGATGTCGTCTATGCCTTCAGACATATTCCCAGCGAGCTGATGTCGTCTATGCCTTCAGACATATTCCCAGCGAGCTGATGTCGTCTATGCCTTCGGACATATTCCCAGCGAGCTGATGTCGTCTATGCCTTCGGACATATCCCCAGCGAGCTGATGTCGTCTATGCCTTCAGACATATTCCCAGCGAGCTGATGTCGTCCATGCCTTCAGACATATTCCCAGCGAGCTGATGTCGTCTATGCCTTCAGACATATTCCCAGCGAGCTGATGTCGTCTATGCCTTCAGACATATTCCCAGCGAGCTGATGTCGTCTATGCCTTCAGACATATTCCCAGCGAGCTGATGTCGTCTATGCCTTCAGACATATTCCCAGCGAGCTGATGTCGTCTAAGCCTTCAGACATATTCCCAGCGAGCTGATGTCGTCTATGCCTTCAGACATATTCCCAGCGAGCTGATGCCGTCTATGCCTTCAGACATATTCCCAGCGAGCTGATGCCGTCTATGCCTTCAGACATATTCCCAGCGAGCTGATGTCGTCCATGCCTTCAGACATATTCCCAGCGAGCTGATGTCGTCCATGCCTTCAGACATATTCCCAGCGAGCTGATGTCGTCCATGCCTTCAGACATATTCCCAGCGAGCTGATGTCGTCCATGCCTTCGGACATATTCCCAGCGAGCTGATGTCGTCTATGCCTTCAGACATATTCCCAGCGAGCTGATGTCGTCTATGCCTTCAGACATATTCCCAGCGAGCTGATGTCGTCCATGCCTTCAGACATATTCCCAGCGAGCTGATGTCGTCCATGCCTTCAGACATATTCCCAGCGAGCTGATGCCGTCCATGCCTTCAGACATATTCCCAGCGAGCTGATGTCGTCTATGCCTTCGGACATATTCCCAGCGAGCTGATGTCGTCTATGCCTTCAGACATATTCCCAGCGAGCTGATGTCGTCTATGCCTTCAGACATATTCCCAGCGAGCTGATGTCGTCCATGCCTTCAGACATATTCCCAGCGAGCTGATGTCGTCGATGCCTTCGGACATATTCCCAGCGAGCTGATGTCGTCCATGCCTTCGGACATATTCCCAGCGAGCTGATGCCGTCTATGCCTTCAGACATATTCCCAGCGAGCTGATGCCGTCTATGCCTTCAGACATATTCCCAGCGAGCTGATGTCGTCTATGCATATTCCCAGCGAGCTGATGTCGTCTATGCCTTCAGACATATTCCCAGCGAGCTGATGTCGTCTATGCCTTCGGACATATTCCCAGCGAGCTGATGTCGTCCATGCCTTCAGACATATTCCCAGCGAGCTGATGTCGTCTATGCCTTCAGACATATTCCCAGCGAGCTGATGTCGTCTATGCCTTCAGACATATTCCCAGCGAGCTGATGTCGTCCATGCCTTCAGACATATTCCCAGCGAGCTGATGTCGTCTATGCCTTCAGACATATTCCCAGCGAGCTGATGTCGTCTATGCCTTCAGACATATTCCCAGCGAGCTGATGTCGTCTATGCCTTCAGACATATTCACAGCGAGCTGATGTCGTCTATGCCTTCAGACATATTCCCAGGGAGCTGATGTCGTCCATGCCTTCAGACATATTCCCAGCGAGCTGATGTCGTCTATGCCTTCAGACATATTCCCAGCGAGCTGATGTCGTCTATGCCTTCAGACATATTCCCAGCGAGCTGATGTCGTCTATGCCTTCAGACATATTCCCAGTGAGCTGATGTCGTCCATGCCTTCAGACATATTCCCAGCGAGCTGATGTCGTCTATGCCTTCAGACATATTCCCAGCGAGCTGATGTCGTCTATGCCTTCAGACATATTCCCAGCGAGCTGATGTCGTCTATGCCTTCAGACATATTCCCAGCGAGCTGATGTCGTCTATGCCTTCAGACATATTCCCAGCGAGCTGATGCCGTCTATGCCTTCAGACATATTCCCAGCGAGCTGATGTCGTCTATGCCTTCAGACATATTCCCAGCGAGCTGATGTCGTCTATGCCTTCAGACATATTCCCAGCGAGCTGATGCCGTCTATGCCTTCAGACATATTCCCAGCGAGCTGATGTCGTCTATGCCTTCAGACATATTCCCAGCGAGCTGATGTCGTCTATGCCTTCAGACATATTCCCAGCGAGCTGATGTCGTCTATGCCTTCAGACATATTCCCAGCGAGCTGATGTCGTCTATGCCTCCAGACATATTCCCAGCGAGCTGATGTCGTCTATGCCTTCAGACATATTCCCAGCGAGCTGATGTCGTCTATGCCTTCAGACATATTCCCAGCGAGCTGATGCCGTCTATGCCTTCAGACATATTCCCAGCGAGCTGATGTCGTCTATGCCTTCAGACATATTCCCAGCGAGCTGATGTCGTCTATGCCTTCAGACATATTCCCAGCGAGCTGATGTCGTCTATGCCTTCAGACATATTCCCAGCGAGCTGATGTCGTCTATGCCTTCAGACATATTCCCAGCGAGCTGATGTCGTCTATGCCTTCAGACATATTCCCAGCGAGCTGATGTTGTCTATGCCTTCAGACATATTCCCAGCGAGCTGATGTCGTCTATGCCTTCAGACATATTCCCAGCGAGCTGATGTCGTCTATGCCTTCAGACATATTCCCAGCGAGCTGATGTCGTCCATGCCTTCAGACATATTCCCAGCGAGCTGATGTCGTCCATGCCTTCAGACATATTCCCAGCGAGCTGATGTCGTCCATGCCTTCAGACATATTCCCAGCGAGCTGATGTCGTCCATGCCTTCAGACATATTCCCAGCGAGCTGATGTCGTCTATGCCTTCAGACATATTCCCAGCGAGCTGATGTCGTCTATGCCTTCAGACATATTCCCAGCGAGCTGATGTCGTCTATGCCTTCAGACATATTCCCAGCGAGCTGATGTCGTCTATGCCTTCAGACATATTCCCAGCGAGCTGATGCCGTCTATGCCTTCAGACATATTCTCAGCGAGCTGATGTCGTCTATGCCTTGAGACATATTCCCAGCGAGCTGATGTCGTCTATGCCTTCAGACATATTCCCAGCGAGCTGATGTCGTCTATGCCTTCAGACATATTCACAGCGAGCTGATGTCGTCTATGCCTTCAGACATATTCCCAGGGAGCTGATGTCGTCCATGCCTTCAGACATATTCCCAGCGAGCTGATGTCGTCTATGCCTTCAGACATATTCCCAGCGAGCTGATGTCGTCTATGCCTTCAGACATATTCCCAGCGAGCTGATGTCGTCTATGCCTTCAGACATATTCCCAGTGAGCTGATGTCGTCCATGCCTTCAGACATATTCCCAGCGAGCTGATGTCGTCTATGCCTTCAGACATATTCCCAGCGAGCTGATGTCGTCTATGCCTTCAGACATATTCCCAGCGAGCTGATGTCGTCTATGCCTTCAGACATATTCCCAGCGAGCTGATGTCGTCTATGCCTTCAGACATATTCCCAGCGAGCTGATGTCGTCTATGCCTTCAGACATATTCCCAGCGAGCTGATGTCGTCTATGCCTTCAGACATATTCCCAGCGAGCTGATGTCGTCTATGCCTTCAGACATATTCCCAGCGAGCTGATGCCGTCTATGCCTTCAGACATATTCCCAGCGAGCTGATGTCGTCTATGCCTTCAGACATATTCCCAGCGAGCTGATGTCGTCTATGCCTTCAGACATATTCCCAGCGAGCTGATGTCGTCTATGCCTTCAGACATATTCCCAGCGAGCTGATGTCGTCTATGCCTCCAGACATATTCCCAGCGAGCTGATGTCGTCTATGCCTTCAGACATATTCCCAGCGAGCTGATGTCGTCTATGCCTTCAGACATATTCCCAGCGAGCTGATGCCGTCTATGCCTTCAGACATATTCCCAGCGAGCTGATGTCGTCTATGCCTTCAGACATATTCCCAGCGAGCTGATGTCGTCTATGCCTTCAGACATATTCCCAGCGAGCTGATGTCGTCTATGCCTTCAGACATATTCCCAGCGAGCTGATGTCGTCTATGCCTTCAGACATATTCCCAGCGAGCTGATGTCGTCTATGCCTTCAGACATATTCCCAGCGAGCTGATGTTGTCTATGCCTTCAGACATATTCCCAGCGAGCTGATGTCGTCTATGCCTTCAGACATATTCCCAGCGAGCTGATGTCGTCTATGCCTTCAGACATATTCCCAGCGAGGCGCTCTCCTTCACCCCTTGATGTTCTGCTTCCACCCATGCATTTCCCGTGTCTCCCCATGAAGCTTTGAGCTGCGAATGAAGGTGGCGTTGGGAAGAGGAGGCGAGCTGCTGTCGTCCATGCGTGTGCTCAACACCGACAGCAAGGCGCTCTCCTTTACCTGCGCCTTGCACACATACTTCCGCGTCTCAGACATCAGGTGGGTGACTTTTGCTGCTGCCGTTGGTGGTGCCGCTGCTGTTGTCAGCAGTGTGAGTGACTGGTCCCTTCACCTGCGCCCTGCACACATACTTCCGCGTCTCGGATATCAGGTGAGTCAAGGCCGTGTCTTGGATATCAGGTGAGTCAAGGCCGTGTCTTGGATATCAGGTGAGTCAAGGCCGTGTCTTGGATATCAGGTGGGTAGCTAGCTGTTTCTTGTTGCTGCTGCTGTCGTCCATGCGTGTTCTCAACACCGACAGCAAGGCACACTCCTTCACCTGCGCCCTGCACACATACTTCCGCGTTTCAGACATAAGGTGGGTGCCTGTTGCTGTGTCTGGGACCAGGCCATGTCTCTCCACAGGTGGTGGTAGTTGACTGCGCCCTGCACACATACTTCCGTGTCTGAGACATAAGGTGGGTGGCTGTATTCCGTGTGATTTTGTATGCCTGCGCACCTTGGGTGGTTTTTATCGAATCAATTTGTCATTTGACTTGCGCCATATCAGTTCCCCTCTTTCCCTCCTTCCCCCTGCCCTGTTCCAATCCCGCTCCTCCTCCCTTCCCCCCACCCCGCCTCTCCCCTCTTACGGCAGCGAGGTGCGCATAGAGGGGCTGGAGACGTTGGATTATTTCGACAACCTGGATGCTTTCAAGAGAGTGACGGATCAGGGGAACTCCATTACTGGGTCTCCTCAATCGTTGTCTCGCCTCTTCCCATGCTGACCTGCTTTCCATCTCCCCCCTCCCCCTACTCGCCTTCCTCCGCTGCCCCTCCCCCTTCCCACCTCTTCCCCCCCCTCCTCATTGGCAGCGAGGTGCGCATAGAGGGGCTGGAGACGTTGGATTATTTCGACAACCTGGATGCACTCAAGAGAGTGACGGATCAGGGGAACTCCATTACTGGGTCTCCTCAATCGTTGTCTCGCCTCTTCCCATGCTGACCTGCTTTCCATCTCCCCCCTCCCCCTACTCGCCTTCCTCCGCTGCCCCTCCCCCTTCCCACCTCTTCCCCCCCCTCCTCATTGGCAGCGAGGTGCGCATAGAGGGGCTGGAGACGTTGGATTATTTCGACAACCTGGATGCACTCAAGAGAGTGACGGATCAGGGGAACTCCATTACTGGGTCTCCTCAATCGTTGTCTCGCCTCTTCCCATGCTGACCTGCTTTCCATCTCCCCCCTCCCCCTACTCGCCTTCCTCCGCTGCCCCTCCCCCTTCCCACCTCTTCCCCCCCCTCCTCATTGGCAGCGAGGTGCGCATAGAGGGGCTGGAGACGTTGGATTATTTCGACAACCTGGATGCACTCAAGAGAGTGACGGATCAGGGGAACTCCATTACTGGGTCTCCTCAATCGTTGTCTCGCCTCTTCCCATGCTGACCTGCTTTCCATCTCCCCCCTCCCCCTACTCGCCTTCCTCCGCTGCCCCTCCCCCTTCCCACCTCTTCCCCCCCCTCCTCATTGGCAGCGAGGTGCGCATAGAGGGGCTGGAGACGTTGGATTATTTCTACAACCTGGATGCACTCAAGAGAGTGACGGATCAGGGGAACTCCATTACTGGGTCTCCTCAATCGTTGTCTCGCCTCTTCCCATGCTGACCTGCTTTCCATCTCCCCCCTCCCCCTACTCGCCTTCCTCCGCTGCCCCCTCCCCCTTCCCACCTCTTCCCCCCCCTCCTCATTGGCAGCGAGGTGCGCATAGAGGGGCTGGAGACGTTGGATTATTTCGACAACCTGGATGCTCTCAAGAGAGTGACGGACCAAGGGGACTCCATCACGTTCGACTCAGAGGTGAGAGATGCAAGAGATTGGGACGAGATTGTCACGAGCGATTGTGCAAGTGGGGGTGACACTTAAAGGCCAGTGAGTGAGGTAGATGTTTGGATGCCTCACTGGCTGGAACAAGGAGTTCGACTCCTTGATTCGTTCCTGTGGAGGGGTAGTGTGAGTGCAGTGGGGCACTCGAGGCAGTTTGAATGCGCTCAAGAAAGGGACGGACCAAGGGGACTCCATCACCTTCGACTCACAGGTGAGTCGCACCTCTAAAAAAAAAAAAAAAAAAGTTGCGAAGTAGAATGGTTTGTGACAAGAGATTGTTTGTAAAATACCCTCTAAGTACCTGATTGTCATTTCTCTATTCCTATTTTCATGTACCCTCTGCCTTATGTCTTGCTTTCGCAGTTTGACAGAATATACTTGAATACGCCAGCAAAGGTTGCTATAGTGGACCACGCAATAAAGAAGACGTACCTCGTCAAGAAGGATGGATTCCTTGATGCAGGTAAACTTTTTGTTCTTACCGGTAGTGTGTTTTTATTTTTTTATTCATTTTCTTTATCAAGAACACCTTGAAGCGCTCAAAATGAGGACAGATCCCTTCATACAGGTTTGTTTATTTCTGTTCGAATCTTTCCATTGCCATCCCATCCGACATAATACGCCAAGAAGGACAGATTCCTCTCTCTCCTGCTCCGTGCTCCCCCTTGTGTTTCCTCAAAGTTGTGTGGAACCAATGGTAGAAGAAGGCAAGGGCCGTGAGCGACATGGGGGAGGGGGAATACAAGCAGGTTGTGTGTGTGCGTGTGTTTCACACTCTCTCTCTCTCTTCCTCTTCCCCTTCCCTATCCCCCATGCACATCCATTCACAGTGGTGTGGAACCCATGGGAGAAGAAGGCAAAGGGCCATGAGCGACATGGGGGAGGGGGAGTACAAGTTGTGTGTGGGTGTGGTGGGTTGATCATGCCCCACTCTCTTCGTGTTCCCCCTACTCTCCTCTTCACCCCTCTCGTTTGCCTCAATTCACAGTGGTATGGAATCCGTGGGAGAAGAAGGCAAGGGCTCTGAGCGACATGGGGGAGGGAGAGTACAAGCGGTTCGTGTCTGTTTGTTGGGTTGCTCATGCTCCTCTCTCCTCGTGTTCCCCATGCTCTCCTCCTCACCCCTCCGTGTGGCCTCCAATCTACAGTCGTGTGGAACCCGTGGGAGAAGAAGGCAAGGGCCATGAGTGACATGGGGGAGGGAGAGTACAAGCGGTTTGTGTGTGTGGTGTGTGTGTGGTGTGTCATGCTCCACTCTCCCGGTGTTCCCCATCCTCTCCTCCCCATCCCTTCCCCCTCCTCAATTCACAGTGGTATGGAATCCGTGGGAGAAGAAGGCAAGGGCCATGAGCGACATGGGAGAGGGCGAGTACAAGCGATTCGTGTGTGTGGAGGCAGCAGCAATCGAGAAGCCGGTGCAGCTGAAGCCGGGGGAGGAGTGGCGAGCCGGTCAAGAGCTGTCAGTGGTGCCTTCGTCGTACCACAGTGGACAGTTGGACCCTACCGTGGTTACAAGGGGTTATTAGGGGTTGTTGGTTGTAACACTGGGTCAAGAGGAAGAGGAAGAGAGGCAGCAGTGATCGAGAAGCCGGTGCAGCTGAAGCCGGGGGAGGAGTGGCGCGCGGGGCAAGATCTGTCAGTTGTGCCTTCGTCGTACCACAGTGGACAGTTGGACCCTACCGTGGTTACAAGGGGGTACTAGTGGGTAACAAGGGGTATTAAGGGGTATTGAGGGATGCAGGTGGTAGAACCGGATTTGGAGAGTGATAGGCTGCAGCGATCGAGAAGCCGGTGCAGCTGAAGCCAGGGGAGGAGTGGCGCGCGGGGCAGGAGCTTTCTGTGGTGCCTTTGTCGTACCACAGTGGACAGTTGGACCTACTGTGGTTACAAGGGGGTACTAGCGGTCAAAGCCGGTGCAATAGGAACCTACTGTGGTCACAAGGGTTTATCAAGGGTTGGTGGTGGTAACACTGGGTTTCAAGGGAGCGAGAGAGTGAGAGTCGGCAGCTGTTGAAGCCGATGGAAGTGAAACCAGGGGAGGCGTGGCGTGCGGGGGAGGAGCTGTCTGTCTTGCCTTGGTCGTATCATAGCGGCCAGTGGAACACCACTCCACTGTTGTCACAAGGGGATTTATGGGATTTACAGTGAGTCAGGGAGACAGGAAATCGAAAAGCTGGTGCAGCTGAAGGTGGGGGAGGAGGTGCAGATGGGTAAGGGGTTGTTGGTGGGATGGGAAGCTTGTGTAAAATGTTTGTGTAAGTTGTCTACCATGGTACCGTATTACCACATCTACTCAGCTCAGATGCATCGCGTACAACCATAGAAACCTACTGTACACCCACCACTTCGCATCCTGCGGGATCGCTTTCAAACGTGGGTGAGCCACACAGCACCTGGAGAAAACCGCACCCCAACCTCCAATGCTGCGTCTGACAAGTTTTGGGCACTGACCAATCAACATCGCTGACTGCCATCACCCATCGCCTTCTATGCCCAAGTCGTCGCAGATCGCCGGTTTTGGCAGTAGAATAATTGTACTCGGTCTGGCAGTAGAAAACCGTTCTTCACCATTCTGTAACGTACAGAACCGTGCTAGCCAGACCACCTCAGAACTAATATGGAAATATGTATGACGAACTTGGCATGCTGATTGGAAATTTCGGGAACCAGGAACAAGAACGCATAGCTTGAATGGCTCGACTGGCATATACTGCCGTAGGCTATGGCTAGAGTCGCCATCAGCATGGGCCGCTAAGATGAGTTATCAGCGAGTCGCCTTTTTTCTGCGTTTACAACTTGTAAGCATCGCAGCAGTCTTCGTCGCGGTTCGTGCTTCCAAGTCGATTCAAAACCATAGAGAGACTCATGCTCTTGAATCGACAGAAGCGCACATAGATTCGAGGCGACAGAGTAACTACCAATGGTAAACGTCTGAACGATATTACATAGAAAGTACAGTCGTCAACAATCATTCACCATGCTAACTGCTGCAGAGCGTATGTCGAACGTGGTGAACTGGCAGCAGGTAGCGATCGTGTCAGTAGTCCTGATCGCCACCGTTATAATCACAAGCCAGTGCTGTAAGCCCCGACACCCGCGTCGCTCTTCCGGTTACATTTTCTAACATTTTTTTTGGACGTGACCACATTCATAGTAGTGTTGCCATCACATGAATCTTCGAATAACCCCCATTGGCAATGGAGAGCAACCGCCTACTCATTCTCGTTGGAATTATTTTGTAGTCTGACGTAGTACGAGATTCTCATACCACATTTCGTCTCATCACGTCCTTGTACAAATCGGCTTTGCACCGTGCAGACACAGCTTCTTGGAATGACTGTCCAAGCCGACCAACTGACGACTGCACTAGCTCTTCCATTGACCAGCAAGACTCTAGAAAATCCTCGAGATTCCACATTCAGGACTACGGCCTCCAGGGACCCATTCCCTGGACGTACATCCGACCGACCGTCCGCGATGAATTTACTGTCAACGGCTCGATCAGGGCCGTTGAGTATTTCCACGGGACGGATATGGGTGACTCTGGAGCGAAGGCGGTCGTCTGGCCGACCGGGCAGATTGACCGGAAAAAGAGAATGGCGGAGGCGAGATCCCCTAGAGTTTCTAAGTACGGCGAGAATGCAACTCTATCTTTCTACGAGGCATTGGATAAGTACCCAGTCGAACGGAAATCGGTGCTAGTGATAGGGAGTCAAACTCCTTGGCTTGAGGGAATTCTCTTGGCGTATAAAGCTGGATCGATCACGACCGTTGATTTCAACAGACCCGCTGCAGACTATCCCGGACTGAGGCTGTGGAATATTGCTGAGCTGGACGCCTCGGATGAGTCCTTTGACGTGGTAGCTTCGTATTCGTCGCTGGAGCACGATGGGCTGGGGAGATATGGCGATCCGCTAAACCCGGATGGAGATCGGCTGAGAATGATGAAGGTAAATTGCGCTGAGGTGCTTGGTTGTATGGGATCCAATTTCCATGGTATGTGTTACCTAACCATGCTTCCTAAAGATTTGCTCTCTGCTGAAATTTACTGCATCCTTGCCCAGTCCTGTTACCCCTCCAAGGCATCTCTCACATCCTACTGCTTCTTGCTCTTAGCTGCCATGTCCCTTTGCATCTGTCCCATTGCTGCTGCGCAGATCAGGGGCCTACTAAAGCCAGGAGGGCTCTTCTTCCTGGGGGTGCCAGTGGGGAACGACACGCTGGTGTTCAATGCACATCGGGTGTACGGTCCCATCCGCATGCCGCTGCTGCTCAACGGCTGGAAGCTGCTGGATGTGTTTGGGGTGTCCAGTCTCGAAGCAGCTTATAGGGAGAACCTGAATGCAACAATCTTACAGCCGGTCATGGTGTTGAGGTAGAGGTTTCTGAACGCAGCTATGCATATGGTTGCCATAGTAAACCAGACTTCCAGACGCTGAAGGGGACTATCTTGCTCCTCAGTCTCTCTAAGGGCAACCACCAGGGCGCGACTATGATATTGGTCGATCAGATCTTCAGAAGTAGATCCAGGGTATATTTTATCAAAGCAGCTTACTCTGTTTTCCTAGAAATTAGGGTAAGCCTGTCTGTTTAGGCTTTGAAATCAATGTTTTTTTGTAAGGGTTATTTCTTAGAGCTGCCTCAGTGTAATCTCCACAGGCTACATACGATACCCCTCTACACATTGTATGTGCTAGGGAAGTGATGGTCACCAACCAATCAACAGCGCTGACTACCATCTCCATCGCCTTCGCTGCCATTGGTGATCGCAATTGGTGATCATCTCTCTCGTACACTGTACAGTTTGGCAATGGACGCACACATATTGACGATCTCGTTTCGTCAATTCGAGCCGGCATTGCGAAGCCGTGTTACTAATGTCGTGAAGTGGTCGCACGGAACATGGTTACTGGATTTGCGAGGAGCTTTGTCGAGCTCCTCAAAATTTCAGAAATTGCTATGGAAACCATGAACTGGTTTCTTCGTCAGATCGCTAGAGCTGTCTCCATGCATTGCTACTATTAGTCTGGAAGTAGCTAATAGTAGCAGTCTTCGTTGCCTGCGTGCTTCCAGAACGATTTGAAACTGATGAGACTTGCGCAATCGAATTGTAGCAGTCTTCGTTGCCTCAGACTTGTCAGTTCGATCCGAGGCGACAAGTTAACTTATCGGTGATAAATTCGAGCGAGATTATTAGTACATCAGTAGTCAGTCATTCACCATGCTAGCTGCAGCAGAGCGTATGGCGAAAGTGGTGAACTGGCAGCAAACGGCAATCGTCTCAGCAGTCCTGATCGCCACCGTTATAATCACTAGCCAATGCTGTAAGCCCGGACGCCCGAGTCGCGTTTCTTTCCTCTCAAATTCTTTCATTTTCCGCTCATTCACACATCCCCTTCGAGTTCCCATTGTCACAACTTGGGGAGCAGCATTACAAACTTTCTTGACCATTTTGGTTCCTAAGACGTAGTAGTAACACTATCATACCACACTTAGTCTTATTGCATAAATTCCTAACGTTTTCATCCTCAATCCTTTGTACAACTCATATCCGGGATGTTTCCTGCAGACAAGGCTTCGTGGAGTGACAATGCGAGCCGACCATCAACTGACGGCACCATCACTGCCAGTGACCAGCAAGGCTCTCAGAAACCCTCGAGATTCCACATTCGGGATTACGGCCTCCAGGGACCCATTCCCTGGACATACATCCGACCGTCCGTCCGCGATGAGTTTACTGTCAACGGCTCGATCCAGGCCGTTGAAAATTTCCGCGGAATGGATTCGTACGATTCCGGAGCGAAGGAGTTCGTCTGGCCAACCGAGTTAATCGACAATTATCGGCGAAAGGCGGAGGAGCGAGCCCCAAAAGTTTGCCCTTATGGAGTCAATAGCACCCTCCCTTGGCTAGAGGGGATTCTCTTGGCATTTAATGCTGGATCGATCACAACCGTCGATTTCAACAAGCCCGTTGCAGACTATCCCGGATTGAGGCTGTGGAATATTGCTGAGCTGGACGCTACAGATGAGACCTTTGACGTGGTAGCTTCGTATTCGTCGCTGGAGCACGATGGGCTGGGGAGATATGGCGATCCGCTAAACCCGGATGGGGATCGGCTCAGAATGATGAAGGTAAATTGCACTGGGTGCTTGATGCTGTGGTTGGGTGCGGTTTCCATGGTTTGCTTCCCACGTGTTTCCTCTCAGCTAGTTTTTACTGCAGCCTGCCAAGCCAAGTGCTTGCGTCAGCTGATGCGTGTATGCCCTTACTATGTCCTGATACCTCTTGTAAGCGATCTTCTCTCACATCATTCTACATCTTACCCTTTGCTGCCATGTCCTCGAGCATCCCCTCCCTTTTTGCTGTTGGAGCCGTCTCATAGTTCCCCACCACGCCCTGCCATCCATCCCAAGCCATGTGTTACCCATGTCCTCTGGTATTTTCCCGTCGTTGGCATGTTTTCAAAGTTTTGAGACGTCCCAAAACTCTGATTCTCCCTTGTCACATGACAATTTCCCTTTGCTGCCAGCCACGTCCTCAGAGCGTTATCACTTTCCATGATCTCAGACCTTAGATGCTCCCAGTCCTTCAATGCCATTTGACATTTTCCCCTCGCTGCCACATGCTCAGAGTGTTAACGCTCTGGGTTGAGATGTCCCAAATCTCAGATGTTCCCATGTCTGTTAACATTTTCCTTAGCTAGCAGCCATGCCCTCTAGCATCTCCTCCTCCCCACGCAGCTTCGCAGATCAAGGGCCTTTCAAATCCGCGAGACCCCTTCCTCCTAGGTGTCCTAATGGGAAACGACACGCCGGTGTTCATTACTCAACGCATGTGCCATCTTCTCACATCTCATGCATTCCCATTCGCTGGCATCCCCTCCCCTCCTCCCCTTCGCTGGTCCCAAAGCTCATAGGCCAGCTCCCAGTTTTCCTTAGCTGGCATGTCCTCTGGCACGCCCCTTGCGGCTGGCATGTCCTCTGGCACGCCCCTTGCGGCTGTGCAGATCAAGGGGTTTGCCAGTCTGCGATGACGCTTCCTCCTGGGTCTCCCTGTGGGCAATGACACGCTGATGCTTAATACTCCGTGCTCCTACCACCTCTCACATTTGATTCGGTCCCATTCCCTGGAATCCCCCCCTTTCCCTGGTATCCCCTCTTCCCCTTAGCGGTAGCGCAGATCAGGGGTCTCCTGAAGCCAGAAGGGCTCGTCATCCTGGGGATCCCAGTGGCGTGTTCAATGCGCGCCAAGTGTCACATCTCCTCACATAATGGCCGTCGAATCGACTCAAATATCGCATGTACCATCGACTCACGTCTTCCCATGCATTGCCATACCCTGGCGTCTTTTCTCCTCCCATTTCCTGCTGCGCAGATCAGGGGCCTGTTGAAGCCAGGAGGGCTTTTCTTCCTGGGGCTCCCAGTGGGCAACGACACGCTGGTGTTTAATGCGCATCGGGTGTACGGTCCCATCCGCATGCCGCTGCTGCTCGAGGGATGGGAGCTGCTGGACGTGTTTGGGGTGTCCAGTCTAGAAGCAGCTTATAGGGAGAACCTGAATGCGGACATCATACAGCCGGTCATGGTGTTGAAATAGAGGAGAGGTTTTGGAACGCAGCTATGCATGCGTTTGCGACAGCAACGCATGCTCTTGCTACAGCAATGCATGCTCTTGCCACAGGAATGCATTCTCGTGCCACAGTGACCCAAACTTCCAACCAACACACAGCTACCATCTGCTCAAGGGGGATATATTTCTCCTTTATTCTCCACGTGCAACCACCAGTCCTGGCTTTAAGAACCGTCATTTAAGTAGTACCAGTGCATACGTATGCACAGGCTGCATCTCTTCAGCGGGGACAAGTATGCTTGCTGAGAGGTCCCATGAACTCTTCAAGAGGGCACAAGTATGGTCGTTGATGTTATAACTGAAGGACCGTAGTGGATAGGATAAAGTTGCCAAGTATATTGAAAGAGCTATGAAGTCTCTGTAGTGACCTTGTTAATGAATTGAGAAAGAACAAGATGATTATAAGATAGGAGTACAGGAATATAAATAGCAATTCTAGCTAGCCATGTACTCTGAGGGGTACATTCTCTTATTAACCGGATTACATTGCTACAGTAACCAGGACTATTGCCATTCTAGACAGTTACCATGTTGTACTTCGTAACTGCCTTGTGCGGTTACTGGGCAGTCAAGGGTCACGACCGTTGACTGTCTTCGACTGTTGACCTTCGGGTGACCCTCGACCTTCCGCGTGCTCTATATGAGCTATTGCGGTACTGGTACAGGCGTTCACTTCGTTATGGAGTGACGCGAGAGTGGAGAACCTTTGGGAATGCTTGTGATACCCTTTCGGTTATTCCAACAGTGGTGACGTCGGTTTTTGCCTTCTCGTGGTCACACAGGTGATGCTGATTGGGATTCATAGTAGCTTAAAAAGGGATTGGGCGTCTTGTGTTTCCAAGTAACTCTTCCAACTATTAGGTATTTCAGCATGAGTATGTTGTTGGGCTGAGAAAAGCCCTTAGGATCGTTCAAGGCTAAGACTCTGTTAGGAATGTTGTATTGCGGAAGCGTTTAATGATAAACTGTTGAACCACCTTGCGCTGGTGTGTGAGGGCAAGATGGATTGATTATAGAGAAGTAATACAAGCTTTTATAAGATTACAAGGAATACCGTCATCGCCAGGATAGAAGATAGTGTTGAATTGAAGACAGTGTGTCTTTTATACGGGTGATTTCTTATAAAGGGAACTTCTGTTTAAAAGATACCCTGCTGGCTATATGAGATAAGACACCCCCCCCCCCCGGGTGTCTTTTAAACGGAATGCAGAGTTTCATAGCAGCAATCTTTCATGTATAGCTAAGACAAAATACCACATTTACTGTTTTTCATGCAGCAGTCACACATTCTGCCTCTGTCACTCTAGCACGGGATGAGTGGCCATCTTGTTGGGTCCGTGATCCCGCCAAACAAAAAAGCACTCTTTATTACGTGTCCCGGTATGTGCGATAATACAAAAACGCATCATTCCGTTTATAAGATTTACAAGACACCCATTTGGTTCCATTTACAAGATACAGTGGCCTTTTTCAATCCTATATGAGTTAAGACACATATGTCTTCTATCCGGGCGATGACAGTATGAAAGGATGCGATAACTGTTTTACTGTTGCTGTTGCGGTTCGATACAGTGACGACTCGGGCAACTGCTCAGTATCGAGTCAGTTGTTTGTCCTTGCTGTCGTGCTGTATTTGTCGAGTCAAAGGTCGATGACCTTTGACCTTCGCGTAACCTCCAGTAGTTACATTTGTCAACCTCCTTGGTTGACTCGCCGTTGCTTCGTTGTTATTTGCTTCGTTTACAGTGCGATGTTCCGACACATCAGAAGCGTTAAGTTACTTGTTTCCAACACTCCCCTTCGCTTCTGGAGTGTCGCTGCTGGTGACGTGACTTTGTCCAGTCAACAGCATGCAGTACTCGAACTTCTGCTTTCCGAGCTTCTTGGTCAAGTAATCAGCTGCCATCTCGGACGTGGGGCAGTAGGATAGCTCGAGTCTCCCCTTCTCGATCTCGTCTTTCACGAAGAAATATCGCAGGGCGATGTGCTTTGTCCGGTTCGCGAACCCGTTCTTGTTTGCTATGCGAATTGCAGATTGGTTGTCGCAGGACAGAGAGAAGCTGGGTAACTGGGCCAACTTTGCTTCTTCCAGCACTTCGCGAAGGTACAGTCCTTCCTTGGTGGCTGAGCAGAGTGCAATATATTCTGCTTCAGCCGAGGAGAGAGCGATTAGTTCCTGCTTGCTTGACTGCCACGAGATAGGCCCGATAGGTTCAAGTCGATAGATGTAGCCGGTGCGCGAGCGCCTGTTGTCAGCGTCGCCGGCGTGGTCGGCGTCTACATAGCCGATTAGCTTAGGTGTCGAGGTTCCGATTCTGTAGTAGGTCAGGCCGATCATCGAAGTACTGACGAGGTAGTGAAGAGCGCGGTCGAGCTCGGCCATGTGGTCTGTTTCAGGCTTCTTGAGGTAGGTGGCGAGTTGGCTCGCTGAGTACGATAGGTCAGGTCGGCAGGTGACGGCTGCGAAAAGTAAACATCCCAGCTTTCGTTTATAGTCGCGTATACCGGGTTTGAGTGGAGCGGAGGTTTCCTTGCGGTTTCCGTCGGTGTAGCGATATGGCGTGGAGATTGTGGTCGGAGTTAATCCGAAGCCTTTCGCAATGGTGTCGGCGTACTTCGCAGCGCTGAGGTGAATCGCGTTTTCTCCTTCCTGTATGTTGAGTCCGAGGTACTGCGTCACGGTGGAGGAGACGGTGAGTGTGAGATCCCGCTGCAGCTCCCCTTCGAACCAGGTCGTAATACCGTCGGTCGAGCCGATGTAGAGCAAATCGTCTACGTAGACGTTGAGCAGAATGTAGTCGGCGCTTTTCGTGAGTCGGTACATCCCTTGATCGTGCGGCAGTTGACGGAATCCGATACGAATTAGCCGGGCGTATAGGTACTGCTGCCACAGCCTCGGAGCCTGCTTGATCCCGTACAGGGATTTTAGTAGTTGACATACTTGGTTAGGGTCTGCATTAGACCCGTGAGGTTGTTCGACGAAGATTTCAGCGTCGACAGGGGCGTAGAGGAAGGCGTTGGCAACGTCGATTTGTCGGAGTTTCTTTCGTTTCATGGCGGCTATCGCGAGAAGAGTGTCGACTGACCGGAGCGAATGTTTCGGTGAAGTCTCGTCCGTGCTCTTGATCGAAGCCACGAACGACCCAACGCGCCTTAAATTTGTCGATGGTTCCGTCTGCCAACGTTTTCACACGAAAAACCCACTTCCCGGTGAGTATTGTCTTGTTGTGTGCCACTCCGATGGGTACGATTTTCCAGGTGTTGCGTTCTTCCAGCGCCTTTAACTCCTTGTCCATGGCTTCGCGCCATTTTTCCCTGTGCTCCCCCCCAGAACCTGCTGAACCGTGGCAGGCTCCTTAGGTGGCGCTGCTCCGTGGACGGCGGTGACGAGTCCCAGTATCTGCAGCCCACTCTGTGTGTAGCGGGGGAGATTTGCGTCCTCAGGATAAGCTGCTTCGTCTCTTGCTTCTGGATCAGGTGTGAAATTGGGTCCTACGCGTTCTGCTTCGTCGGTGTTGACTCTTGCGGGTGTAACGTAACCGTTGTCGGCGAAGTGGTAATAGACTTCGGCGTTGATGCTTTCGCGAGGGTTTTCGTCGTCCATTGGGACGTCGACCGAACAGTAGGGAAGAGGTCCGGCTTCCTCCGAAGCTCCGTCCACGTTCTGTTCGTCCCAGTCAGCTTCGTCAGCTGCCGAAGCGAAGGCTCGATCACCATGAAATCCACCTGTGGGGTCTCGGTCTTCTTCCATGTTGGCAAGGTATGTTGGGAGGGTGAGTCGTTCGTAGAAAATCACGTCACGTGCTGCTACTGTTTCCTTGGAGTGGACGTCGAAAATCTTCCATGCGTTGTAATGTTTTTCGATGCCCAGGTGTACTCCCCACTGTGCGCGTTGAGAGAATCGACCGGCTCGTGCAGCTGGGGGTCGGTACTGTACCATGCAGCCGAACACTCGTAACATTTTCGTGCTGCCCAACTTTCCTGTCCACAGTAGGTGCGGTGATGCGTTGTTCGGGAGCGATGATGACGAGAGCAAGTTGTGCAGAATGACAGCGTGGTCCATCGCCTCGAGCCACTGGTGGTTGGGTAGCTGCATGCCACGCAACAGTTTGCGCATGGTGTTCTGAAGAGTCCTGTTCATTCTTTCTGCCACGCCTTGCTGTTGATGGGCGTAGGGAAGGGAGATGAGCCTTTTGATGCCTCTTTCCGCCAGGTAGTCCTTGAACCTTTGGGACTGATATTCTCCTCCCTCGTCTGACTGGAAGCCTTTCAGCTTCACTCCTGATTCCCGTTCTGCTACAGGAAGCCAGGCGACAAAATCTTCGAAGGCCATGTTACGGCTCGGAAGGTTGAGATGCCAGACGTATCGTGTGGCGACGTCGATGAACGTGATGACGTAGTTATAAGCTCCTTGTCCGGGTTCACGGTTGTACAACATATCGCTGTACACTTTTTCCAGTGGTGTGTACGCTGGTGCGCTCGGGTTGTGGTGAGAGACGAACGGCTGATGTGGTAAGTCGGCTTCGGGGCAGGTAAAACACGTTCCGCAGACTCGTTGAAGTTCTCTGCCGTCGTAGTGAATCTTTGTCAAGGACGCCTTCTCGGATCGTGTCATTTAACGTTGTGTTGCTCGGGTGTCCCATTCTTGCGTGCCAGTTTTTTTCGCCAGCGCGATGTCCGGGTGAGCGCCTGTACAAGTCGGAGTTGGAATAAAAACCGGCGGTGAAGTTGGTGCTTCTGTGGACTTCTCGTGGAGTGGGAGTTAACTGCTGAGCAGGAGTCGGTGGAGTATCGTCGATTGGAGCTGGTGCCGTTGAAGGACCCGTAATTGGTGTCGTAGTCGGTGTTTCCTCTGCTATTGCCGGTGTTGTCTCTGCTGCTGCCGATGTTGTCTCTGCTGCTGCCGATGTTGTCTCTGCTACTGGCGATGTTGTCTCTGCTGCTGCCGGTGTTGTTTATACTGCTGC